AGAAGTGTTATATAATACCTGCTCTCTGCCACTACAAAGTAGTGCTGTTGCACAGGATGGACATGAACACAGCGCAGAGGATTTGCAGCCATGGTATACAGAGATTCATATATTTTCCTGCAATCACATGTTTTCTTTATTATTTATGATGTAAATATATATGAAGAGTTCCTTTGCAAAAACAGATAACTGTTTTTAACAATTTTTAAAAAATGTGTTTTTTCATTGTGCATTCCAATTAATCTCAATCAAACTGCAGTTGGGTTATTTTGATTAGGTAAAAAAATAACTAACAAATACATCTAATACAATAAAAACATGATAACAATAAAAAACATGATTTTTGAAAATAAACTCTTCATATATAAATATAGATATTTAAATATATAGATATTTTTGTCTTACTCAGTTCTACGGTCAACAACGGCAACATCACCATTCCATTCACCAAGTAGTAAACTGGAGCAGTCAGCTGACAAAAAGTCAAAACTTTTCAGGCCAGAGGATGAGCGATACACCTGAGTACAAAAGAGAGGTGTTAATTGTAAAATGTGTTGAAGGTTGTACATCTGGAAGTTGGCACCAAGAAATTGGATTAGAAACCTGCTATTTAATGGTACGGGGATTTACTAGTAATGCAACAAATTTGTTTTTTTTAAATGATTCCAATATTTACAAAAATACTGATTCTATTACCGATATTTACAAAAATTTAGATATTTTGCCTCTTCTCTATTTTTCATTCTTGTTGCCAATATTTAATTTTTGTCATTTATACACTACCATTTATTTTTTTTATGTTTTTGAAAGAAATCTTTCTTGCTCACCAAGTGCTCAGGAAACATTCCTTATTATAAAATATAAATGTTGCCGTTTATTATTTTTGTGGAAACTAATAAATTTTTTTCAGGATTCTATGATGAAAAGAAAATGTACAAAAAAACCCAGCATTTATTTGTAATATAAATCTTTTGTAAAATGCATTTACTGCAATTTTTTGCTTTTTGACAATTTAAAGCATTCTTGCTAAATGAAAGTATCAGTAAAAAAAAAAACAATTAAAAATACTGACCAAAACTTTTGAACTGTATATTCACAGGCAATTTAAAAGTTTCAGTTAGATAAAACCAATTGATCTTTAAATGTCCTTGTCCAAACTGAATTCACGTTAATCAGAATACATGATGTGCATTTTTGTTAAATGTGAGCCAAAATCATCACAATTAAAAGAACCAAAGACTTAAACTACTTCAGTCTCAGTTCTAATTTATTGAGATGCACCTGTATATGTGGATCGAAAGACTAGCTTCACCATGTAAAAAGCTGCTAAATTTCAATTATGACCTTAGGAAAGGAGTACATAATGTGTCTTATCATCAATAAACATGTATGACCAATGTTTCACCTCATCAAACACTGCTTTCTCCAGGTCCATGCTGCGTGCAGAGCCATCATAGCTCACTGTGATGAGGTTGCAAGGGTGAGATGAGAAGGCCATGCTGATAATTGCACGAGAATGGGGTTCAAAGTAGATTACACCACCATCGCCCCAACTAGCATCCTGAGGTAAACACAGTTAACATTGTACTATAATACTGCAATACTGTACTGTAATATTGCAAGCAAAGCAGAGAAAATCTGGAATAGCCATTAGTCACTTTATCACATTGCCACATTTCAACTTTCACAAACAGCTCTCATTTTTATCACACCAGACCACAGTTATCTCACCGGCTTCCAGAGCCCGAGGTGGCCCGACTTGTCTCCTGCTGCCATAAGCAAGTTGGAAGAGGTGGGGTGAAAAGCAGCTGAACAGATCCGATCTTTCACAACTTTCACCACACAACTGTCATTGATCGATAATTTCTGCAGCATTTGTTGGTACCTGACAACAAATTTGTTGACACATTATATGCAATATATGCCATTCTCATTACGCAAGTGAGGAAAATGGCTACTAATTAGTACAAGATGAAACCTTATCTGAAACTGATACAAGAGACATCAAAATGACGTATAGGTAAACACTCTCTTTATAACACGTTACTCACGATATCAAATCTGATGTTCCTGCTTCTTGTTTTAATGGGACCTACAGAAGACATCATACAGATTCGGGTGATGCACAAGTTTTTTGCAATATGCCAAAATTCAAAAAAAAAAATACAGGATGCTACATGTTTTTGTGCATGTAAACATTGACCTCATTCCAGAGTTTTACCAAATCTTCTGGCAGCCTGACATGTTCATCCAGGTTGATTGGATCGAGTGGTATCGGTCCTGGGGCTTTTTTTGGTTTTTCTTCCTTAAGTAAGACACATTAGTTTAATTTCAGATTAAATAATTTTGTAGTGTTTCATCAAAATTGTGTTTAAGTTTAACATTGAACACTACAGACGCATGTCAGTGACTTACAGGCTCTCTGGCTGCATAAGAGGTTGTGTCTAGAGTAAGGGTTGTCGGAGGACCCTTATTCTGTAACCGCAGTGACTTGCGAACTGGGAGCATCTCTGATTCTGTCTTTTCCCTACAATAATTGACTTTCTTTAGTTAGTGAGCTGGTGGGGTGTTTGACCTCTGACCATTAAGAACACTTAAATAATATCAGCAATATATCTGCTACTATATTTATGCTATTACAGTATATTTAAATACATATTCCTTATTTATTGCATACATGTTCATTTGTGCCTTTTTGAATAGTTCCTATTTAAAGATACCTTTTCAGGCCTTTCGGAGTAGGCTTCGGCTTGGGTCTCAGAGCTTCAGAAATCTGCGAACAAGTACAAATTATGGTCATAAAGTTAAGCAAGTTTAATGTGGAAAAAAGCTAAAAGCCAGAAACAAAAGTAATTAAAAAAACGACTCTCCTGCCTCACAGCAAAGTTTTACCTGAGGTAAATTCAGGGTATTGAGGAAGGCCTGGTTCTGTCTGATATTCTCCAGTCGCTCTAGTTCATATTCAGACAAACCCTCACGGTAACCCTGTTTAAGATGACAACAAAAAAAGTGTATTCTGCCATTCAGGTGGAAAGTTAACACTTTGAGGTGATGATGCAGTGTTTGCACTTACTGGAAGAGAGTCCTTATCATCCTTTACTTCTGCCTCTTCAATATCTTCTTCTTCCTCACTGTCATTTTTCTAAAGGTAATATGTAATAGTTAATATACACGCTTATAAATAGAGTTATAACTAAAATGTTCCATAAGAGACGTCGTTTCACCTCAGACGTAAATGTCAGACATTTTGGGGATAAAATTTGGTTCTTTTCTTGGTTTTGTTTCTCTCTGATTCGCCGGGACGTCCGACGCACGGGCCCGTCCATTCCTGGATCCTGAGGTGGTGTCCTCTCCTAAAAATGACAAGTTTTAGATTCAAAAAAGATTTTTACACGTTAACTACCTGCAGTGTTTCTGAGCGCTGTGTCCGACAGGGGCGCTAATCACTGCTTTGAACTGCAAGGAGTGTCTTTGAACCTAAAACATACAAACACTAAATTACTGACCGAATCGGTTTATCTTCGACGGTTACAGTGATTCATTTTATTTTCTTTCAAAAATAAAAGTTCTTCGCTGTTGTTCTGTGCCCCAATATTAAATCCAAAGAGCAGGTAAACCAGTTTTGATATTCTCATCTCGTCGCCAGGAGAGACAACACTCAGTTGAAGCAGGAGATATTTACTTAACGTTAGTCGTAATTATGTCTGTATCATAGCGGACCTAAACAAGTTAAACAAGCGTAAAGTGTAAAGCCATACGTGTGAATCACTTCAAACGCATGCAAACTACCATACAGGGCGATAAATAAACGGTCATAACATATATATATATATATATAACGTTATATACACAAACATATATGTTTGTGCAGATCATGTCAAGATACTTAACTAGTTATGAGCACGTGTTGTATTTCTATAAAGTGTGGAAGTGAGAAACGTTCAGTAAGGAGCGAACCTCGAGCTCACCTGTAAAAGTTGCATCGTCTTTAAACTTAAATCAATTTTATTTTCATCCATGTCTATGCAGGTGAGGCTATTCAACACACTTCCTTTGAAAACAAGCTGTTATGAAAACTCCCGCGTTACTGATCCGTTTTGTAACTGTCCCCGCCCGTTTTGTTATGACACTAAAAAAGTGGACGTTGATTTGCTCGTCTCTGAAGACCTTGTTTAATATTCATTATTTGGGAGGTGTTTTAATGCGCACTCGTGACGGTTCATGTCTGGGTAATAATGTAACGCTTTCCTTTCAGCCAATAACCAGTGCACGTGGCGTACACTAAACGAACACATCGTTTAAGCTTTAAATGTGATTCATTTGTAATTTAAAGCTACTTTAGACGAATCAAATGCTATGTATATATACATATATATATATATATATATACATTCTTTGAACTGAATCACTTAACGTTTTATTAACCCTTATGCCTTCTGTATCATGGTGATAGACATGTAAAAAGCTTGTAAAATGGCTTAATTCCTGAGAAAAAGGGGTCCTGCAAATAAGCCAACTCAGACACTGAATATTTGAATGATTTTAAAAAATCGTAAATGACTCATAAATACTATAATGCTATAAATTTATACTATAATCAATGTTCATTTTAATCAATTGTAAATTCAGATTTAAAATAACTATAATCTGTCTGAAAAGTAAACGTCTCGCCAAACCCAAACGTATTGCTGTTGCATTCAGAATTCGAGATAGCATAGTATTATCACACTGCTTCGGTTAGGATGACCCACTGCCAGCGAAGTGTCCCTCTAGTGGCTGAGAAGTTCATGAGGATAAATACTTCACGCAGGAAAGTTAACCGTACTAGGCCTAACATGCGCTAATGCACATTAAAGTCTCCCCTGTGTATTACAATTGCATTTGAAGAGATAACACAGAAAATAATCTTGTATCACAAAAACGCAATTTTGTGTTAACCTCAAAAATGTTATCAGAAGTCCCCGTGTGGCTTTTAGTTTTAATGGTAGCTATATTTATTATAAATGTCTGTGTTCTAATTTGTTTCATAAGTAAAATAGTGAACTGCATCTTATGATCTTATGAGTAGCTTCACTGTAGCTTAACTGCTTTAAACTGTGACTATTTTAATAGTAGTTGGCCCAACACTGTTGGCAAAACTTTTATCTGTCAACAGCAGAAGTAGTGATGGCCAAAAATGTGTTGCTTTTAGCTTATCTTTGCCTGAAAATGTCAAGTTCATAATCATATTTCTTACAAATAAACTAATAATAAATGTAAATACTATTAAAACTTGAATTAAGACCCAGAAAAAAAGTGATACATTCAGCTTGAAATAAATGAAATCTTTTTCTTCTTCTTTTTTGCTCTTTGCAAGTTAAGAATTTGTAGCTCAGGGTTTTTATTAATTACTTACTTTTTACAAATTGTCATGTTTCATTTCAAATAAAAATTTTTCACAAAATCAGCTGGTCTGGCTTTGTCTTTTCATACACTCTCAGACAAAAAAGTTACAAAAGCTGTCACATGGGGTGGTACCTTTTAAAAAGGGTTCATAGTACCTTAGAGGTACACATTAGTACCTAAAAGGTAAAAAAAACATGTACCTTTCGAAAAGGTAGACCTACCCCCCCAGTGACTTGTACACCTTTTTCTCCAAGAGTGTATAAAACTAACTGCTGTATAAGGCATAATATAATCACTTGAAAATAAAGCAAGGAATATGAACACTGTACATTTTAACACTTCAATATTTGTGACTGTGATGATGAAAATATATGTTATATAGCTTATCTTAATGTACATTAAGAGCAATAGTTATGGATTTAAAGTTTTGTAATATCAACTGGTTGGTTTATTTTAAACACTGTCCTTTTGTGTAGGTGGTGTGATAAACAAAAATTAAAAGGTAGTGTTTTTTTTTTAGAAAAAAATAAATTAAATTTATGTCATTTGATTTATTCATTTAACTTATTGCAGTAATGCATCACTAATATGTATATTCCATAACATTTCATAATATAAATAAATACAACAGTCAGTAAAATCTCAAACATTTTATGAATAATACAAAGATATATATATATATACTTTTTCTCCAAGAGTGTATAAAACTAACTGCTGTATAAGGCATAATATAATCACTTGAAAATAAAGCAAGGAATATGAACACTGTACATTTTAACACTTCAATATTTGTGACTGTGATGATGAAAATATATGTTATATAGCTTATCTTAATGTACATTAAGAGCAATAGTTATGGATTTAAAGTTTTGTAATATCAACTGGTTGGTTTATTTTAAACACTGTCCTTTTGTGTAGGTGGTGTGATAAACAAAAATTAAAAGGTAGTGTTTTTTTTTTAGAAAAAAATAAATTAAATTTATGTCATTTGATTTATTCATTTAACTTATTGCAGTAATGCATCACTAATATGTATATTCCATAACATTTCATAATATAAATAAATACAACAGTCAGTAAAATCTCAAACATTTTATGAATAATACAAAGATATATATATATATATATATATATATATATATATATATATATATACCAATTAAATTAAATTCAAAATGCTTCTTAAATGGTACTTAAATCCATAATTATGTTGTCCTTAAGAGTAAAACAGAATTTAGATGGCAGGTTAATAATTTTTATTAATAGGTGATGACAAAATTTCCCTAAAAAAATTATTTAATGCCCTAAATATATATCTATTCACAAAAACGAAATATAAAGTTAAAAAAAGAGAACTAAACTTATATTTAAATATTTTTATTAAAGTGATGAACAGGAGATGACTGATAGTAATGCTGGGAATGTGTGTTCTGCAATCCTGCTCCGGTGCTGAAGATGTTTTAGCATATATCCTATTATCCACATGAGTGATCCTGGTGTCTGATTTGGACGGAACTCTAGGATCAGATAAAGGACAACTGACGCTTGTTTGCTTTGCATGCGACTTTCACACCATCCAGAGGAACTCAACTAGATAATTGGCCACAAAGCCCACAGAGTAACTGGCTCCCTTTCCCTGACACAGGCATGCTAAGACATCACTAACCATCACTCGCAAAACAACCAGTCAGGCGGAATGACTGCTCATCTCTCGCCAGTCGTTGAGTCCATGTGCCCTTTTTTATGTACTACTTAAATTTGCCAATAAAATCAAAGTATTTCTGGAATTTTATTTGATTTATTTTAATTTCTTTTCAAATTAATACATTCATTTCAGATCTCCAAAAATTCCCATTTATATATAACTGCATATAAACCGGCTACAGGCCCGTTTATGTCTTTAAATATCCAAAAAGCTGCAATTTAAACTGGTTTTCTGCAAATTTCATTAACAACATTGACTTTTATGGGCATTTATTAACTATGAACTTTTAAGATAATTTAAGTTCATTTTAGAGTTACAACTAAACTAGTGCACCATGTCCTGTGTGTGAAGCATTTGTCCAGTCACTGAGAGATGAGTGTGATTAAATTTTTTGGACATGTGTCTGGCCGCCTCCCTGGTGTGCGTTAAATTGTGTGTGTGTGTGTGTGTGCATCTTTGCGTGTCTATGTTTTAAACCACATATAAGCGTTATATATTTCTTATGTCTTTGACATCCATTACACATGATTGCAAGTGATAAGTTCTTAGTCACACTGAGGGATGATTAGGCTTTTTACTTGTTTTAACTCATCTTAGGCAAAAGCTGTACATTGAGTTTGTATTGCCTGGAATGCTACAAACCTGCATTCTCACACCACCTTAGGGCACATGTGTACAATGACAAACACACACACACACACACCCCAATACATCCTGCTGTGTGTCTGTGCGTGGGTAAATTAAATGTGATGTTGATTGCTCAGAGCCAACAGTGCGTGTTACTGCTTGCTAGGAATAGTTCATCAAAAAAAATTGCATTTTTGTCATCATTTCATATTTTGAAAAATGTTTCAGTGTTTTTGTCCCCATACGATGAAAGTTAAACTTACATAATCTGGACAAAAACAGTTCAAAAATATTATTAAAAATAGTTTATTTTGTGCTCGGCAGTAGAAAGACAGTCATATAGGTTTGGAATGACTTGAAAGACAGTAAAAATTACAGAATTTTAATTTTTGGACGAACTATCTCTTTAAGGACCGATATTTCAAAGAATTGCATGGAGGAAGCGAGTGTGCATGCGAGATTCCATACAGTAAAACAGAGCAAAAGCTATACTCTTAAAATTGTCCTCCTCTTGGTTTTTTAAACAAACTCTGTCATTATACACATTTCCTATCTCTGAGCATTAAGTGACAAGTGAGGCTGAGTGATTTTGACAGGTGAAAGCCCATAGAAACTACAGCAGGAAGTGTTCTGTCTCGTCTGAAGAGGGTGTGTCGCAGCCAGGGAAGCAGAAGAAGAGACTGGAATGTTCATTTTAGTCACACCTGGGATGAACACACCTACCAAACATGGCCTTTCCCTTTTCATTGGCTGATTTGATCATGACTGACAACGCAAACAACAAATAAACCCCCTCTTTTCGCCGCTGAAGGGGTTTGACCTATGATCCCCAATTGTGAACCAATAGCATGTCAAGGTTGACTTGCAGATAGGTGGGGTGGAGAGGAAATAAAACTCATCTGTGGGGTGTGTCCACAGTGGCATACGTACAGACTGTGAGACTGTGCTCCACCACGCAGACCTCCTGCCTCAAAACTATGGTTTGTGGAAGACGGACTTAGACTCATCCTGGTCGAAAGCTACTGGAAAAGTCCCAGATGTCCGCCCCAAGCCTGTCAGCTGCAGCTACCTATCATGTCATGAAGACGCATTTGATGTTCCTTTGGCTAAAAGAATAAAGCTGGACAGAGCAGGTGGGAACTTGTGCCGGAGTTTTGTATGGAAGCAGTTGGAGTTCTCAGTAGGACTGTTGAGTGTTTGTTCAAATGGTCGCTCACATCTCCTTATCACTTTTCCAGCCCAGCTAAAGATGCTGAATCTGTTGGACGGAGAACTGATAAGGGCATGTGGCTGACACATACAGCTTTGTGTCTGCTGGGCACTCGGGTCAGGGTGCGTTGCTGATGTGTGGTGAATGCACATTTGTGAATGTCAGTGACTTAACTGATAGTTGTTAATATGTTTAAATCGATATTATTTTTAAATGTTTAGTAAATGATATGTGATGTACTTTTTATTCCAGATACTGTTAAAGGTATATAATTTCATGTCATATCTGTACATACAGCAATCATGTTTGAGTTTTGTACATGAAAATTATGATCTCAATGAGAATTCATTTTAATGATGTAATTATTAATTTGACCATAATAACACTGAATCCGAAATGCAGGTTTTATGTAGAACTTGACATTTTACTTTCAATCTGTTTTGGCTTTATCAAATATAGAACATTAATCTCTACAAGTTAGAAGTAGTTTTTAGATTTAGAAACTTTGCAAATTGGTTTAGTATTTGTTACTCTTCTTAATACAGACTTGATTATCATTTGATGACAATTATGCTTATGACTTAATGAAAACAATATCAAAGTTGAATGTTTTAAATTTGTTTATTTATAATGATATTTCAAATAAACTGTTTATGAAAGGGGAAATTTTAAGTTTATTCCAAAATACTGCTTATGTTGTGCTACAGCTTTTATAAAATGCTCTTTTCCTTTACCATAAACTCACCTCGACTTTCAGTTTACAGAGGGTAACGATTCATTTAATATCTTTATTTCATTATTCAAAAATAGGCTTTGTAAAAATGTTAACCTATATTCATATTACACACTGAATTTTATTATAAGGTAAATCAAATGTCTAATTTAGCTATGCACAATGGCTAATAGCGTAACAGTATATAAAAAAAAAATCACTAATTATTTATTGCTTAAATTCATACTATTGCTGTTCATCTTATTGCATAGGCACTTCATTACAGAGCCAGCCTCATCCTGCATATTGAAACTCTACTTTCCCACATTCTTATTCAAACTGAAACTCTGTATTTCATATAAAGTAGGCAGATTTAATAGTCTGCAAATTTGGAATGTACAATCTTCACAGGAAAATGTGAAAAACTGCTTTTCAAATGCTTTTTCACTGGGCAAGGTATTGTCTCAAGCCAGGCCCACCATGGAAGCACTGAGATCCCACAGTCTGCAGGCTGCAGCATCATCCCTACCTTGAGGAGCTGCCTCTTTGGGGGCACAATCACTGTAAAACCACCAAGAGAGAAATTAACCACAGCCGGAAATGATCATAATTGAACAGCAATGGTCAGAAAACACTATGTGAATAAAAGCTTTAAAAAAGTGGTGAAAACAGTTTGTTGATTAAATGACAATGACATCCACTGCGAAACAAGGATCGCAAGATTGTCATCATCTTCATACAATTTGGTGCCAGTGTATATGATATCATGGGAGAGGTGACAAATATTAAATCTTGCTGGCTGTTGTGATGCTAACTTTAGAAAGTTTGTGTACATCTTTCACAGGCCTTGATGAGCAAAATCTTACTAGACTGCATTTAACACACGTGACAGAAGCAGCTACTGACCTGTAGTAAAGGCCGCTGGTATTCTGCAGACTCTCATCCACTGAGCAGTAGATGGTGGTCTGCGCACCCTGCCAAGGTGTTTTGACAAAGAAAAAAAGGGGCATGAACAAAAGCCTCTTCCATAGAGACAGAGAGGGGAAAAAGTGTCGGCCCAGCTCAGTTTGGATCAACCCAGGATGAAGAGTGTAAATTGTCACTCCTGTGCCTGAATGATAGACAGGGAGAGAGTTTGCAAGCAGCGGGTTAGAAGTATAGAAGTACAGTGCGTTCAATGGATTAGCATAATATTATAAAGACTGTAAATCCCCCACAGCCTTGTTTTCATCTGCATTAAATTCAATATAGCGTCTGACCCAGTGACTCTTAATCCTGGTCCTGGGCACATTTTGCATGTCTCCATTATTTAACACACCTGATTCAGATCATCAGCTCATTTTAGACCATGAAGTGGGTGTGTCAGATAAGGGAGACATACAATGGCTGTTTCTCAAATTGAGGACACAGAACGCACCCTTATGAGAATTGAGATGTGCTGCGTTCTTGCTTAACTGACCGCATAGTCACAGCATAAGCAGCGGCCAATGAACCATAAATATAACATAACATTACAAACAAATGTCATAATTTATTAAAACATTTCATTCTATTATAGATATTATTTACATATAATTGCATATCGTTTTATTTTACAGCGTTATATGTTTAACTATGACTATGTTAAGATTCATTTTAATATGCCAATAAAAATACTGCAGACTTTCTCCGGGCCTTACAACTTTATTCAAATTAGGCAAAACAAAACTATAAATGTTTACTTTCAAGAGTCGTCAAGTATTTGCGAGAGCGAGTTTAAAGCTTGCAGGCTTCCATACACCGGCGCCCGCAGCGTCTTCTGGGATTTCTAACGGCTCGATTCTCTCAAGTCTGCACTCGATGCATCCTCGATTTCAAGAACACATCCGGGCACTTTCATGCGTCCTCTGTACTTGCGTTCTAGAGTATTGAGAAACGGTCAATATGTGCAGAGCAGGGGTCCCCAGGACCATGATCAAGAACCACTGGTCTAACCTGATTCAGGTCTATAGTTTACCTTTCAGTCTGACAGCAAGTTCGCGGGTAAACAGAATATTGGCCAGCTTGCTCTGTCGATAGCTTACCAATGGATCATAGTTTTTCTCCAGGTTTATATCATCAAAATCAATCTTGCCTGTCAAACAGAAAATAATTTGAAATATTATCAGAATCAAAATATTGATTGTGCCAAATAATCACTGTAAATGTATTTGCATTGTAAATAATACATATAATACATTACCATGTGTATTTTATACCCTTTTATTTTTATAAACACAAGAATTGCACATTTTGTTAAAACAGAGCTTCTTGTCAGAGAACAGGATAAGGAGAATAATCACTGCTTACAATAATTTAGAGTCTACAAAATGATGAAAAAAATAAGTGTTGTTATGAGTGATTCAGTTTAGCACATAAAGACATATGGGCTTGCACACCTGTTTCATGGGCCAGGCTGGAAACATTGACAACACGGCTTGGTGTTGATTTCTTCAACAAGTCCAGAAGTAAGTTGGTAAGCAGGAAATGACCCAGATGGTTCACACCAAACTGCATCTCAAAGCCATCATCTGTCTTCCACTGTGGGCACATCATTATCCCTGTTGGCAGGGAAAAAAAAAAACATGAATATGAATTAATACACTACTCACAAAAAGTTAGGGATATATTAAACTTTCGAGTGAAATTTATGGAAAATGTAAAAAGTTCATGCTACAGTGATATTATATCATGAAAGTAGGGCATTTAAGTAGACACATGCAATGGTAATTTCTTCATCTCAAACAATTTACTGAAACAAAAGCTAACAACAGTTGTGGGTATACCACAACAAAAAATGTCAATGTCTCAAGAACTTGTCATGTGTCCTTGAGCATCAATTACAGTTTGAAAATGACGTCTCATGCTGTTCACATGTCGACTTATTGTCTGCTGAGGCACGGCATTTCACTCTTCTTGAAGGGCTGCCCTCAGGTCATTGAGGCTCTGGGGTGCAGGGTTACGACCCTCTACACGACGACTCAGCTGATCCCACAGGTTTTCTATGGGATTCAGGTCTGGAGAAATCAACTTTCATCAGAGAAGAGCACTGAGGCCCACTGGTTCCTCGTCCAGCACAAATGTTCCCTGGCCCATGCAAGACAATGATGCCTGAGCCAGGTGGTGTGGTCAGGTACCCTTGCAGGTCGTCTAGCTGATGTAAGCGGTTTTGAATGGTCTGACGTGACACTCAGGTGCCTCTCACCTCCCTTAAACATGGCCTGGAGTTGAGTGGCATTCATCATCCGGTTCTGCAGGGCACTGTTCACAATGAAGCGGTCATCAGCATGGGATGTGGCCAAAGGATGTCCACTTCTATGCCTTTCTGTGACTCTTCCAATCTCTCTGTGTCTCTGTTGCATCCTGTTGATGACACTCTGTGACACTCCAAGCTCAGTGGCAACTTCCCTCTGAGAACATCCCGTTTGAAGCCTCGCAATGGCCAGGTACTGTTGATAAATTGTTAGGTGTCGTCTTGGTCTCATGATGTAAAAATGTGAACAGCATAATGAAGAGAACTGTTTAAATACAAATCATCATTGAACCAGAACATTTAGTGGTCGATTCATGGATCAGAAACTTTTTTAATTTAATTTTATTTTTTTATCAATTTTTGCGGTTAATCACCTCGTTAGAGAACAGCATGTTATGCAATAAGTACTGAGACATTTAACAGTTGGACATGTGCATTCAAAAGTTTAGAGAATGTCAAATTAAGTTCACCTGTAAAGGTTATTATGCATTTTAGATGCAATCTGAAATTTCACCCGAAAGTTGAATATCCCTAACTTTTTGAGAGTAGTGTATATAAATACATAGATATTAACCATGTGTTCATGCAGATGCATTACAATCTGGCCGACATTCCTTACCAGCATTATTAATGAGAATATCCAATCTCTCTTCAGTCTGCTGTACATCTTTGGCCAGAGCTCGGACAGACTGCAAGGAGGCCAGATCCAGCATCTTCACAACCACGTTGCCATTTCCACTCCTCTTTCTGACCTCATCTGCTGCTTTGTTGGCTCTGCCCATGTCTCGGCAAGCCAGGATGACCCTTGCACCTGAACAATGGTGCATAAATGGTCATTATGTTGTATCTTGGCATGAGGCAATGCTTTTCTGCAGCCATCAAGCCTTCAACAAATACAACAAGGCTTGCATGCACTCTCTTACTGATCACAAATCAGAAACCATGAAGTTGTCATTAGTTACAAACTGGGCCATGTTAGGGTGCTTTCACACCTGTAGATCAATTGCTCTGTTCTGAAATGGATTAAAATTATTACAATGTTGCTTTTTATTCTTGGTGCGTTTCGCTTTCACACGGCAAAGTTTCTAAACGGACCAAATTTTTTAATACAAGACACGCGCGAGTAAACTGTTCTCTCATTGGTCAAAGTTCCACGGTTTATTTTCGGGATTCCACTTAGCTGTCACAGCTGTCATCCGTCAGGATGGAACGTCAACAGCTTCGCGGGCTTATTGTTGGGGTTTTTTGTAGCTGTCGTTTTATTAATTTATCATTTTGAGCAGGAGTGCAGGATTCATCGGGAAAACATTTTTAAAATGCACCTACTACGAAAAAGAGCAATAAAACGGCATTATAAAACGAAAAAGTGCACTTTGATTTTGGCGAAGACGTGCTCACCCACAGACATTCACAGGTTCATTTTGGTATTAGCAAAAAAACAAAGCTAATGCTTTTCACTGAACTTACGTAATTACCCATCATACATTGTGTTATAGCCTGGTTGGTTGGTCCATTGGATCGGATTGCTTTCTCACTACAACCAAACTGCTCCAGAGTTTGTTTTCAATCGAGCCGAGACCACCTCGTTCAGGCGATCTCGGACCGATTGTTTTGGCGCGGATCCGAGCGCGATTGCCGTGTTCACATATGCCCAAACGAACCGAGCTAAGGGGGGAAACGCGCCAGGTTCCGAAACAAGGGGCCAGGTGTGAAAGCACTGTGGTTTGATAAGCGATGGATTGCATAATTAAACCAGTTTTTTCTTCCCCCTGTGGATTTATCATCCCTTTCAAACCCATATACCATTATTGTGTCTGTGAAGTTTCAGCACAAATCTACAACAGGACATGCTGTGAATATCACTTTTTGGGTGAAAGCAACAACATACTGTTTTCATTTGTGTCTCTTTAAATGCAAATGAGCTGCCTGCCCCTTTTCCAGAAGAGGGCTGTGCCTTCAGAGATCATGCCTTGGGTACTATGGCAACAACAAACAAAATATCCATTAAGGAGTGTCTATTTACACTAAGTACAAATAGACCACCTTGTTGGTAGAGGCTATTTACACTAACTCCACCCACCGACTTGATTGGGCTAGTCAACATTACAAAAGACTCATGTCTATTAACAGCTGTAGTGGCATAGATGGTAAAGTGCCTACCGAAGTCGTTTTTGACATGATCGATCCGGGTTCGAATCTGCCTTTTACCTAACTTTTTTTTCTCCCCTTTCAAATCTCATATCACATCGGAAAGGCATCTATTTTTAATAAAAATGAAGGAAATAATTGAAAAGTTGAAGTATCAGGTTGGGTTAGGGTAGGTGTAGGGAGGGCTTTATTGTCTCTATAAGGTGGCACTCATTTTATAATTTGAATTAACATTATAATTTAGCCTACACGCAATACATTATTATTGCATACAGTTTTATAATGTACTACAATACTGAGGTGCACATAATTGTCACTATTTGCAACAAGTAGTATAAATAGCAGAAAATCCTGCTATTTTAACATATTGTAAATAGAATCTATAGCTATTTGTACTTCGTGTAAATGGAATTAATTGCTATTTGCACTTAGTGTAAATAGCATCTATCACTATTTTCACTTACTGTAAATAGCCTCTATAGCTATTTACACTTAGTGTAAACAGTCACTGCCTTTTTATTATTATCTCTGTGGGGCTCATGAGACATTGCAAATTAGTCATTAGTCATCATGAAAAGTTTATTCTTTGCATGGGTTTAAAAAGCCTTGCCAGTATAAACGTCTGATAAAGTTTTCTGAGAGCACACACTAAGCATGCACACACGCACATAAAGCAGACTCTTTTGCGTCAACTATCAAATACACACAAGGTTTTGTCATAAACACACAAAGTTCTTATAGCCACAGTCTGCATGTGTATCAGTATAGCTATTAGATCTGTGAAATGAGTTTCTTGGACATGGCGACAACGCACTACTAAAGCAACCTTGGGCGTAAATATTTTAAATTTGAGGGGATACTGTGATGTGCATTTCCTAAAAAAATAAATAAACTCAGGACAAATCCAGGCATTCGAGGGAGTTCAGAAACTGTGCTTAAAGAATAACTCCTTTTAGAGTGGACTTTATGGGGTGTGGACTTGTTGTAACTTTGCAGATATTTTTCATGCACAAAAAGTAACATCACACACTAAAGAAAGTAGAAAAAAACTTACTAAGACCCCTTTAAAACAGTATCAATATGTGACCCTGGACCACAAAACCAGTCACAAGTCGCACAGGTATATTTGTAGCAATAGCCAACAATACACTGTATGGTTCAAAATGATCGATTTTTTATTGATCTCTTTTTCTTGTATCCTAACAAACCATTCATCAATGGGAAGCTTATTTATTCAGCTTTCAGATGATGTATAAATCTCAATTTCAAAATTATGACTGGTTTTGTGGTCCAGAGTCACATATTTGTTTAAACTTTTGTTGTTTAAATCAAGGTCAGGGTTTCTATGCCATGTCACAAAAATAAATAAATAAAATAAATTGATTTTATACTATCACATACTTTAAGTTATTTTAATGAAAAACAGATGGGTTAACCACATATCATGCTTTGATTTAAGATACTGTAATATTTGTTATTATCTTGGACATTAATATCACAAAACAGGATTACTATATATACTTTACCTCTCATATGATGCCAGTTCTTTAAAATAACATCTTTAGAGCTCCATTAAACTAAACTGACCTCTCTTGGCCATGTCTCTTTGCCGATACCAGTGTTGGCTCCTGTTATCAGAACAGTTTTGCCGTCCAAGAGGGCTTTACTGCGGCAGACTCCCCCAGCCCGCCATCTCCGCAGGGCAAAGAGCCCGACACCTACCGGTACAGGTGCGACATTAGTCCAGCATCATTACCTCACCTCTAATTCATTACATCACCACTACGCTCTTAATGTCGGAAATGTCATTTTCCACGCTTGTAAATTTCAGATTTAACTGCCTCATATTGACATATTTCTTGTTTTTAAATATACAACATAATGATTTTGTATAAAGTTTAGCCTACCCGTCACCAGGACAGCTGCGACACCTGTAGGATGTTCTTCCACAAACTCCTTCACTGCCTTTGTGTAGTCCTGCATTATTACACCTGGTAGATTCTCCTTTGACTGTGTAGTTGTGACAGTCCAGCTCCTTCAATAGCAAAAGTGTCTGCAGACAGATCACCGCACTACACACTACATCTAAAAAGTGTACTTTGGCGTGAACACAGTGGACTCAAGTGCTCCAGTCACGAATTTCAAAATAAGAGTCCGATTGTTGCTTGTAAAAATGCGGCTGTGGCATACACAGAAATGACAATCATCAATAGTTTAATAATACATTTGAACTGTTTTGTGGTGTTGGCTTACAGTATGACTTTTGCTGACACAAGCAATCATATTTGCAGATCCTTGGCATAAAATGTTTGAAAACACCTGCCTTAGTAAGTAGGTACTGACAAAACTGTCCGTGGCTCAGTGCACATTTATTGTCTTTATAAGGTCATTGTAAGTGTTATAATAGTGTTTGGCTGTGTATTTCATGAGACTTTCTACCCAGGCGAGGTAACGAAACGTAGCACGTCTGTGTACATAATACCAAAGTTTAAGGCTCTAGCCTATTTTTCTTCCCATTCAATAAAAAAATAAGAGTGATTAGAAAGGTCAGCATTTTAAAGGCTGTGTGGAAAATCGATTATTTAGAAACAAGGATCACAATATAAGTGTCAATTTGTTGTTGTTTGGTTATACAACATTAAACAAATATTTCAGATATAGCAAAAAGTTGAAAGACAAAATATAAACACGAAGATTAAGACTTCAACTTATAAAGTAAACTAGGCTAATAGGCCTACATGTTCAAGGATATAGTTTTTGGTAAATCGCTTTTTGTGTCTGGTTTACACTTCGTTTCCTACACTAGTTTTTGACTCCACACTCTATCAGATCATGAAAAATGTCAACAGTAAAGTGTGGACCCCATAGTTTATGTACCGGAAACCGCTTTGTTTTGTCCTAAGTAATAGGATATCACACCATGAGATAAGAACTATATTATTGCTTTCTCTACTGCCACCTACTGCTAACTGTCTGCGAACACCTCAGCCAGGAACCTTATTAGAATTCATGCAAAATCTTACAACACGTGCAAAATATCACAAGACGCTACTTTTGTTATTATTTCGCATGATCAGATCATAATTTTTCTTTAATTTTAATAAAAAAAACTGTCAGCTCCATCTGGACAAATCCTTGACTTATCATTTCGGAAATAATCTTTATTTTGAAAAATAAAGGGGCAAATAACCCGGAAGTAACCTGTCCTGCCACGTCAGTGGTGTGTTTAGCTTTCAAGCTGTCAAGTGCCTGAGAAAGTTCAGCTGTTCAGCTATAACTCAATGGAGGAGGCTTTCTATGCATTTTAAAGAATAAATTAAGTTTTCTTCCACGTAAACACTATGAGATACCCTTTTCTTTTAATTCTGGCTGTGTACACAGCCTCTGCAAATGCCACCGAATTAACTTTTGAATTGCCCGATAACGAGAAACAATGCTTTTACGAGGACCTAGAGCAAGGAGCAAAGTTTGATATAGACTTTCAGGTAATTGTGCCCACAGCTGCTTTTGACAAAAGTGCCTCTTTTTTTGTTGCAATGTTGATTATTTATTTTTTGTTTTCTAAGTTGAAAAACATTGTTAAACAACTTAAAATATTATTAATATCAATACTTTTCTTTCCATACAGGTTATTGCTGGAGGAAACTATGATGTTGACTGTTTTGTGACAGATCCACTGAATAATATGCTGTATCAGGAACGAAAAAAGCAGTATGACAGCTTTTCCCATACAACAACCATGAAGGGAGTGTACAAGGTCTGCTTTAGCAACGAGTTTTCAACCTTCTCTCACAAAACTGTTTACCTGGACTTCAGAACTGGAGAGGATGACAGATTAATGCCTGACATGAATGGAGTGACAGCTCTCACACAGGTGAGAAACACAGACAGCATGCACTCATACATAATATACACTGTGCATATATGCATTTGATATGAACCTCTGAATAAATCATGCAGATGGAGTCAGCCTGCCTGTCTATCCATGAGATCCTGAAAGTGGTTTCAGATTCTCAGACTTGGTATCGTCTTCGGGAGGCTCAGGACAGAATCAGGGCTGAAGACCTGAGTGAACGTGTGCATTTTTGGTCCATTGGGGAGACCATCATCCTGTTTGTGGTCTGTATTGGCCAGGTGCTTATGCTTAAGAGCTTCTTCAGTGAGAAGAAAGCCAATGTTGCCACCAGCACATAGACCTAGTTTTCTAGTCTGCCGCATTTTCTCCGTTAATCAGTCTGATCCCCTTAAAACAACCTTGACTGATGCCTACAACCAACCAAAAATTACATCTGTGTCAAAAAAATGCCTTAAATATGGAATAATGTACTAAAAGCTATGCAAGAGTTCATTATTTTGTGTAGTATATTCAAATTGGCTTCTATGTGCATTATTCACTATATCAGTAATGGACATTGACCTGGTGCTCAATTATGCTACCACATCTTAATGTTTTTTGTTTGTACCAGTGGTGTTTTGTTAAATTTTTACATTGTCCACTTTAAGTGTGTGCACTTGTCAACTTTAAATGCATATGTCTTAACATATACTTTATATAGAAAAGAAAGAATAGTTTTGGTGGTTTGTGTTAATTATGGCAATAAGATAATGACTGACTGTGTTGAACCTCTTGTTTTCTGTTTAGCAAAGCCCTTTCTGTTTATCTCACATTCAGAAGGGAAAAATCCATGGTGAATAATTTATATATGTAGATCTGGGAAAATATGAAATGCTTGTTAAAATTCATTATTTTCTAACGCCTTGATTATTATCCTGTCTAATTGTAAGTGCCAACCGCACACACCACTGCTGATTTTTTCCCAACTCTAAGTTACTTTGGGGATATGGAACAAGGGCTTGCACTTTTTTTTGGACTGTAACTGAAACATCAACTTAACATGCAATTCAAAAGCTATTTTATAAACGTATTACATATTTTTCGGATATTTGTTACAAACAAATCTAATTTTGCATACCTTAGCCCAGTATGGTAAATCAATTTGTGACATTTATTGATTTCTTATGAAATTAATAACATATATTGTGTTGTTTACATTCATGACTTGTGTTAATTGACTAATTAAAAACAAAGTTTTGAATTGATTTTGAGTCATCATATTCATAATATCATATAATGACATATACAGTGGATGACGTCATTAATGAACATAAGTCTGGGGCTGTGACAAACAGCTTGTGCACAGCTATGGCATATGACACAGCGCTGCTCACATGGCTATTGCTCCTATAACAGCTCATTTATATCAGTTCTTTTGTCTTAGAGTCGTTATATTTCTAACAGGTTTCTGGTCGTTCTAAATCAGACGCAGATAAAGTAGCACAGTAAAGATTACATTAATATGAATGCATTAGTGAGAGCGATTGCGTGTGTGAATTAATTCTACCTGGCAGCGTCTCTCTACTAGTAGTGAACCTGTGGAATTTACTAGTTATTAAGAAATATATGCTTGAACTTTTCAGTTTCTAAGCTATTTTATTGAGAAATCACAGAACAGTGTTGACAATACATTTCCGCGCTGAATGATTCTGTGTGCGTGATGTACGCGCTACTGTCTGTAGCTATGTGTGTGCGTTACAGTGCAGATTAGTGCAGTGCATTAGATTAGAATGGCGATTAATTTTCCTGTACAACAAGATGTTTAAAACGTGCATTCTCCTGTTCAATTTCGAGCATCCAGTAATATAATCACACTTGCATGTGTTGTGAGGATTTGCAGCTCGTTTCTTCATTTGCATGTGTTGTGAGGATTTGCAGCTCGTTTCTTCATTTGCATGTGTTGTGAGGATTTGCAGCTCGTTTCTTCATTTGCATGTGTTGTGAGGATTTGCAGCGTTTCTTTATTTGCATGTGTTGTGAGGATTTGCAGCGTTTCTTTATTTGCATGTGTTGTGAGGATTTGCAGCGCGTTTCTTCATTTGCATGTGTGTTGTGAGGATTTGCAGCGTTTCTTCATTTGCATGTGTTGTGAGGATTTGCAGCGCATTTCTTCATTTGCATGTGTTGTGAGGATTTGCAGCGTTTCTTCATTTGCATGTGTTGTGAGGATTTGCAGCGCGTGTGTTGTCAAACTGATGAAGATGTTTTCTTAATTTGCTGGTGTTTTTTCAATTTGCATGTGTTTTCTTAAGTTGCAGCGCGTTGAGCTCTCTCGGCCACCGTAGGCATTGACATTAAAAAACGAAATTTAATTTTGGTACTTAAGTACTTTTAAAAGCAAGTACTTCTGTACTTTTACTTAAGTAAAAATCTGTCTTTACAACTTTTACTTGTTGTACACGTATGGATTTGTCCCATACGTGACTTCCCTTGTCCCGTTTTTTGACTGCTACGCTGATCTAACCACTGACTGATACAACAGCAGCAGTGCTGATCACTTGAGAAGGATCACCGATACATGTCATCATCCAATCACAGCCCCCCTCACGCCATATACGTTAACTCAGAAATCATGAACAAAACTGTTTGAGGAAGGCTGCGCAATCCTCTGCCGGCTCGTCTCTCCCGTTTCACAGCAAACGGCGCTCGCGCTAATGCCAATTCCGTCCGTGTTTCACTTCAGTAAATCAGTTTTGGTGAATATAAACTACATAATTATTTTTCATGAGTTCAACATCCCACCTCGCAAGAGACGTGATCAGTAAGAGAAGTCGTCTTTCACCATTGGAATGTTGTTAAATAGAGAAAAACATTTTATTTTTAAGTAACTAATAGCATAATTCTTATCAATAACCTTGGACCTTATTCTTGAAACACAAAATGACCAATAAAAAAAGGTGTCTGTTACAGTACTCCAAGGAAGGCGATGAAGACGAAGATAATCCACAAAGAAAGTCTTTAAATTATAATCCACACAGTTACAGGGAAGGAAATAATTCAGGGTAGCTGTAAAACATGTAACACGAAACAATAACCGACAAACTACTGAACAGAAAGAACTTTAAGTAAGGCAGCTGACGAGGGAAAAACAGGTGAATGGAGTTAACTAATAATGACTAATGAGCAAATTAACTAAAGAGCTAAACCAAACAGGAACAAAACCATATAAGGAAAAACAGGAACAGGCAGACGTAACAGAAAAAGACAATACTAAAGTTCATACACTTAACAGTACTCCCCCTCCCCGGAAGGTGTGACCTCGCGCCATAGCAGAGCGATCCAAGGAGGGTGGGAGGGGGTGTGGGAGGACCGGCAGGAAGGCAGGCTGAAGACCAAGGTGGCGATGAGGGAGGGAGGAGCCATTTAGGAGACGGAAGGTACCAGGGCGGAGCAGACGGTTGGAGGAGCCAGGAAGACGACAGGAGGGAGCTGGAGTAGGAGGAGCCAGACATGACCCAGACCGCAGCCATGATGGCGGCCCCCGGTGGAGCCGGCGGAGGAAGGAGCCATGGTGGAGGAAGGGCTGACACCTCCAGGGGGCCGACTGACGGCGGCGGAGCCGGGGGTGGTAGAGACCAAGGTGGAGAGCCGACGAGCCAGGGCGAAGCGAAGATCCGGAGGGCCAAGGCGGAGCAAGTGGCTTCAGCGAATGAGGCGTAGGCGGAGATCCGGAAGGCCGCGGCGGAGCCGGAGCGACAGAGGACTGAGGTGGAGCTGGAGGGAAGGAGGAGCCCAACGGAGCCGGAGGGACGAAGGGACGAGGTGCAGCCGGAGGAGTGCAGTCCCGAGGTGGAGGTTGAGGGATGAATGACCAAGGTGGAGCTGTTGGACTGACGGGCTCCGGTGGAGACGAGGGAGCTGGAAGCCATGGTGGAGCCGCTGGGTTGCAGGACTGAGCTGCACCAATGGAGCTGGAGATGGGCAGACCCGCAGCGAGCCCACGCCACAGATGGTGGGCTGAGGGTGAGCAGAGGGGCTGACACGATCCAGCAGAATGAGCTTTGATGAAGGGAACAGATCTATGAGAGAAGGCTGACAGGATCCAGCAGAATGAGCTTTGATGAAGGGAACAGATCTATGAGAGAAGGCTGACAGGATCCAGCAGAATGAGCTTTGATGAAGGGAACAGATCTATGAGAGAAGGCGGGAGAGGGAGGTTGGGTGGGATTTCTTGCCAGAATGATAGCACAGATGATGGACATATTTGTAGCTCTGTATTCCTTTCTATTAAATCTCCCGAGTCCAGTTCTTGCTCACCCTCAGTGGTGGTGCAATGGGCGGGGCTTTCCTTAGCCCCAACGATCTCCACAGCTGTATCCATCGTCGCTTGCGCTGTCGGCTCTCGCACCTGGTCAGACACTTGAGGCACAGGCTCCGGGGCGATCATCAGCTCTGTCGCTCCTGATGGCAATGGCTCAACGACCGCGGCAGGCTTTGACTCTCCATCTGCGGTGGGCTCAGACAGCTCTGTGTAACTAATAGCATAATTCTTTTTAATAACTTTGGACCTTATTCTTGAAACACAAAATGACCAATAAAAAGGTGTCTGTTACAGTACTCCAGGGAAGGCGATGAAGACGAAGATAATCCACAAAGAAAGTATTTAATTATAATCCACACAATTACAGGGAAGGAAATAACTCAGGGTAGCAGTAAAACATAACACGAAACTATAACTGACAAACTACTGAACAGAAAGAAAACTTTAAGTAAGGCAGCTGATGAGGGGAAAACAGGTGAATGGAGTTAACTAATAATGACTAATGAGCAAATTAACTAAAGAGCTAAACCAAACAGGAACAAAACTATATAAGGAAAAACAGGAACAGACGTAACAGAAAAAGACAATACTAAAGTTACATACTTCATACTAGTTCATAGTGTCAAGCACCAAAAGCAGCCCATATTAAATCTATAAGCTGTCTTTAATTGAAAAAGACACATTTTCATGCATAGGCTACTATATGTGTGTGTGTATACATGGTCAACCATCCACCCCCCACCCCCCAAGGGGATTGTCCCGTATTTTCATTTTCTGTAGTTGACAACCCTAACTGGGACACCCCTTCTAATTAACAGGTTTGACTACTTTAGTAGTTTCCAAGAGTACAAATCTTAATATAATATAGAATAGAATAGCATATAATGATATTCTAGGGAATTGTGTGCTTCCAATTTTATAGCAACAGTTTGGACAGGACCCTTTTGTATTCTAACATGACAATGCCTCTGTGTATAAGGCAAGGTTCAAAAAGAAATTATTGATTCAGTCAGTGTGGAAAAACTTGACTGGTCTGCATAAAGCCAAGACCTAATCCCAGCTGAACACCTCTGGTGTGACTTTAATTGCAGACCTTGAGCCAAAAACTCATCACCAAACACCAATGACTTGTACATATT